AGGAATGATCATCGGTTCCCTGGCTCTTGCATACCAAGATGTTGGAAGCTTAATTAAACAGAACTGCTGCCTGCAAATCCTTTTAACTTCTTTGCTTTCCGGATGCTTTGGCTTCAACTCATAGCAACTAGAACCCGGCTGATCGTGAACTGCGACGCTCTGATTTGCTGACGAGATTTCACGCGTGCCATGTCTATGGCTTTGCGCATGTTCGTGGTTCAAGCATCCATGATGTGGTGCATAGTGACTTGGATACACTTGGATGATCTTGGATGACATTTTGTGTGTTCACAACATTTCACAACATGTATAGTTATGCTATAATGATCAATAATGCATCTTTTTGGACATGTCCGTCCATGAAGAGAGCAGCCAGGTACACTCTGCACCTTCACTTGATCAAGCGTCAACAGTGCCAGAGAGTGAGTGGCACTTTGCTGATCAGCACTGGACGCACTGGGTTCAATTCTGTGAAGTGTGGACAGGCACTTCCTTGGTGTTTGTGTGGGAAATGAAAGATGATTTACCGACGTTGGTTCACGTTCACGTGATGCATTTTGGATCACTATTTTGATTCGTGAAGCCTTTCTGTCATTTGGCATGCGCCAGGAATCCGTGAGTGGGACTGCCTGGATATCTTTTCCGCTTCACAGATGGTTGCAAAAACTTTCCAGCGCCGAGGTTATGCTGCTAGATCCTTCGACATTAAAGGCAATCCTGCCGAGGACATAACCACGAGCCATGGATTTGAGAAGCTGTTATCCTTGGGACTTGGGTTTCTTGGCTTGTGAAGGGACTATAAAATGTATAAAATGTAAAATCCATCATTCTTTACTGAAGATAGACATGATATGATGAGTTTATTCCTTTGTATGGCATTTTATAAGAGCAGAGAACTTGCACATTTGCAGGCTGGTCCAGTGTGATGCAGTGTATATAAAATGCCAGTTCCATGTCACCTGAATGACCAACAGTGTGTTTGCACGTGTTTGTTCCCTCAACATCATTTCATAGGCTGAAGGCTGGTGCACTTGCCATGTGCGCTCCACCGTGCTCCTTATTTGTGATGGTGTCTTCATCAGTCCACATGCGTTCTGACGCTTGCATAGTTGTGGCATGCATTCTTTGAGGCTGTATGAGGCTGTGTTGTGTTTGCGTTTCTGTGGAAAATAGGTTCTGCTAAATGACAATCATGATCACTCGTGAACTCGTCCAAGGAGTGGTATCCACAAGGATTCACACACTATCGGAGTGTGAGGCTGGCCAATTTGATTCTGGCCAACTTTGTCCTTTGGATGCTTTAGTTTTACTGTCTCGGTGAGATTGTGTGATATTGTGTGCATTGAAAGACATATTGTGTGCCTCTGGGGAAATGGGCGTGCACATTCACTCAGGTGACGTTCCTGTGGCTGATGAAACGGTTTCGGCCAGACATCAAGCTTCTCGTGGAGCAGCCAACATCGAGTTTCATGTTTAAGATGCCAAGCATGGTGGCAATCGCAAACTCCTGGGAACTTGAACGATGTTTGACGCACTTGGGTGTTTTCGGACATGACCTCTTGAAAGCAACACATTTGCTAGGAAATTGGTGCGAAATGTCTTTGCTAGCCCGGACAGCCACGGCTAAAGTCAAAGAAGCGCACCGCAAGAGAATCGAGTCTAAGCGAGCACGCCAATTGGCAAAAGGACAACAGCCTAAAGAATACTGGAAAAAACTTTCTGGCCCAGGAAATCGCTTCCAAGGGGGAGCAAACTTGGCCGAAAGTGCTGTCTATCCTCAACGATTTGCCACGGCAATTTGCAATGCTTGGTCCAAAGCGGACAGCAAAAGGGTCGTTGATGAGCAGAATGCATCTTCCTAAGATAGGAAGTTTGCTTTGTTGAAAATTGCGTGTCATGCCACGCCTGAATCTGAATTCTTAGAAGTGCCATCCGATTGTTGCACAGGATCTCGGATGAAGTCTGCGTTGGGCAGGAGGGAAAAACGAAGCAGGTCGCTTCTGAGCCTAGCAAAGTATACCATATATATCCATATATTATTATATAATACTATTTATATGTATTCTGATGTATTATGATGTATTCTGCAAATACTTTCCATATCTATCCATTACTATCCAACCTGCAGAATCCTGGAAAGACGTGGAAACTTACACAGCCTATAAGACAGACATGGAAATGACAACATGCGAAGTCTGAGAGTGTATAATTATAGATGTTTTCTTTGCTTGAGGCACAAAGACTTCCAAGCAAACAGCAATGAAAAAGGAAGTTGCTGAAGGCTGGTTCTGCTGGTGGTGGGGGGCAATAAGAATAAGCCTTTCAACTGCGAGACCTCTGGGGGCTAACAGAATATCCAGCACATATGTACTGTACAAAATGAGTTGAGGACATGTTCGAGCAGAACTTTTTTCCAGATGCTGAGATCAGAGCCCCTACATTTCATTTTATAGAAGCATTTCTGCATGTTGAATCATGTTGAAAAAACAAGTTTGTATGCGGTTTCCTAGCTTAGTTCAGTGTGAGCCTTCATGGCTTTGCGAGGCAGCGGTGGACAAGGAGGAGCTGCCGAGACCCAAACAGAAGCGCTTGCAGGCAAGCTAAGAGAAAGCATACATGTTG